ATTTGTGCTGAATAAAGAGAGAAACTCCTGGAAATTATATTTGTGAAAAAATTCAATGAAGAATGAAAAAGTATCCTTTCAGAAGAACCTTTATAATTAAAAATGACTTTAATCATCTTGGAGTGAGAATGCTGTTGTGCCAGGAAGCAGCAAGACCAAATTCAATGGTCCTCAAATTTCTGTACAGGGACTGACTTCTGTAGAGTCAGCTGGGCATCTTGAAATATAAATAAATGCTTCCCCACACTCATCTCATTAATACATAATTTTCAACATTCATATTAATTAAGGAGGAGGTGTGATCCAAGAATCAGTATAAAAGCAAAGGGAAACAAAAGCTCCCCCAGGTGATGCTGAAGTATGGGGAAGTTTGGTGAGTTTGGTAAACAATGACCTAATTGACCTCTAGGGTCCTTTCCTTTTCCAAAAATATCATATATTTGTATGTATTTTTCTAATGTACTTTCTTGGTTTTGAGAATATCTATATGGCTTTGACCCATATGGCTCAGTTGGTTGGGCATTGTCTCATAGAATGAAAGGTCACCAGTTGGATTCCTGGTCAGGGCACATGCCTGTGTTGCAGGTTTGTCCCACAATGGGACACAAACGAGAGGCAGCCAGGCAATGTTTCTGTCTCACGTCCATGTTTCTCTCCCACTCTTTGTTCCTCCCTTCCCTTCTCTCTAAAAATAAGTAAATAAAATCTTTTAAAAAGTAGTAACTATATGGCTAGATCAAAGGACTTAGAACTTAGGGCAGGTAATGCATGGGGGGATTTTTTAGTTATGTCTTTGCATAAAATTAAGAGTAAGATATTTCTCAAGTTTCAAAATGAAGACCCAGTCTAAGATCCTCTTTTGGTACTAATAAGTAGAAATAAGGTAGTGGGACTTAAAAATAAATAAATCTACTTATTGAGTGAACTCAGATGAATAAGTCTACTGTATACTGTGAGCATTTTCATTGTTACCTACACTTTTTTGAAAGCTTCCTTAGAGTGAGCCAGCACATGGCCTTTGTCTTCAGGGTTTTCATCTGTCTTCTCTGGGTGAGAGTCTTAACAGTTTCAAGGATCAATTAACTATTAAAATTCTTCAGTGAAGCTTCTTTTGGAATCTCTCAAGTAAGGTAACTGGTTTTAGAAATTTTCTGTAGATAGTTTTCTTGAATTTAGCAAAATGTTTCCTGTTCAGTCACTGATATATTCATGATTTATTGAGCACTTTCTATTTCTCAGATGCCACACATTCCCTTTAATTTATATACATCATTTAATCTTTACGACAATACTATGGAACAGATGTTCTAAGACATTTATTAACGAGAAAACAGAGGCTTGTGGAATTTCAATAATTTGCCCAATATGACTTAACTAGTGAGTTGCAGGACGACATGGATTAAAGCTCAGATCAATGTGATTAAAATGCTATACATTTACCTAGTAAAACATTTTGACTCCATAAAAATATAGTAACAGAGGTTAAGTCAGTTTCAGTTTTCTCACTCTATTGTATTTTGAATTTTATGAAAATTTCCAAGTAAAAATGACTTCAAATATGATACTAGGTTCATTGGGGAGAAGGAATATTTTTTGTGAGTTCAGAAGTCAACACTGGAGCTGATGTGGCTCAGAGGACTGACTGCCAACCTGCATATCAAAAGGTTGCTGGTTTGATTTCTGTCAGGGCACATGACTTGGCTGAGGGCCAAGTCTCCAGATGTGGGAGTACAAGAGGCAACTGATTGGTGTTTCTCTAACACATCCATGTTTCTTTTTTTAAAAAAGTGTTTATGGTATATTTTTTATTTGCTAAGATATGAACATTTTTACAAAGGAATTCATCTTTTAGAAAATTTATTTCTTTTAATTGTTGTTCAAGTACAGTTTACTGTCTTTTACTCCCATCCCAGCTCACTGCCCTAGTACTCCCCACCTCCCTCCCATTTCCACCCCCTTAGTTTTTGTCCATGTGTCCTTTATACTTTTCCTGTAAACCCTTCTTCCCCTTTCCCCTAAAATTCCCTCCCCTTTCCCCTCTGGTCCCTGTCAGCCTGTTCTCTATTTTAATGTCTTTGGTTATATTTTGCTTGCTTGTTTGTTTTGTCGATTAGGTTCCTGTTAATGGTGAGATCCTATGATATTTATCTTCCATCACCTGACTTATGTCACTTAGCATAATGCTCTCCAGTTCATAGGCAGAAAAATATCAGATATTCCATGCAACAACATTTTCACTGATATATCCCCTAGAGCAAGGGACATAAAGGAAAGAATAAACAAATGAAATCTCATAAAAATAAACAGCTTCAGCATGGCTAAAGAAAACAGCATTAAAATGAAAAGAGATCCTAGTATTTCTTTGGGTTAAGAATTTTGGGTCATGACCTGAACATTAAGAGAATGCAATCCATGTTGCAGAACAACGTTTTCTTAAACAAAGGTTTGATCCTTTTCCTATTTTTGTTTCTTCATGGATGTATTATTTTACATATATACTGGAGCATTTACTAATATGAGATATAGCACCTGTTCTTGAGAATATCTTATGTTTAATTTATTTTCAAATCTCTTCTCTTTTAAATAGCATTGGTTACATAATTTCTTCCAATTTTTCTCTTAAAACCAGAAACCTGTGTATGTAAATTATGAAAGTAGGAAAAACTTGTATTTTTTAGAAGTCCTAGGTCCTACCCAAAATTAATTTTGACTATTCTTCAGCTTTCTAAAATTAATCAGTCAACATTTCTGTTAACCTTAATTTTTTCAAAAAAGAAGTTATTGAAGTAATCCAAATTAGTTCTAATATTCTTCTATAGTCCCAGCTTATCTTAAAAGAATGTCAAAATTAGTGAAATTATAGCAATGACAACAGCAAAAATTAGAAGATATTTTATAGTTTATATCACATATAATTTTATAATATGTATACAATTTTATGTAAATTTACATATATACAGTGTTATTGATTTTATAATTATACGATTATAAAAGATTTTCATAAATTTGTTATTTTTCAGTTGTCTTTTACATTGTATGACAGATTATTGAATAATAAACCACTCTGCCACTCAATCTTAGGACTATAGGTAAGCCTCAGACCTTTTTGTCTCAATTTTTGCATTCCTAAAATTAGAATAAAAGTTTTTCTCTACCTTCAATGTATGTTATTTAAAGTTATTTTATTGTCATAATAGCATGTTTAAATAAATATAATGCCAGTTTGTTTAAATACATATTTCTTCCTTTTTCTTCAGTTTAGCTATCTTTAGATTGTTCTGTGTACCTTCTGTCCTTCATATGCATAGGTGTCTGTATTTCTGAAAACCCAGAAAAACCTCTGTTCAAGATCTTAGAATTCTCCTCTGCCATTTCAATCTTCAAAATAAAAAATAAATAACTAAATAAATATAAGAGGAAAGGAAGAAAGGAAAGAAGTAAGTTAGGTAGGAAAATAGTAAAATCTTGATTTCATTATGTTTAGGAAATGTAAAAGAAAGTCACTTTTATTTTTATCAGATGAACTGTGTCACTAAGAGTGTATACCTCTAGAGGGACAAAAGTAATGGAAGAAATAAGTACATGATTTTTAATTTATAAAGGGATGATACTTTTGACATCATTGGAGTCTCTGTATGTTTTAAATTAAAAATGTAATTCTTAGTAAGTTTTCTTTTTAAATAATTATTCACTTGTATTTTTTAATCATACAACATGAATGTTTCTTGCTTTTTTACACTTATATCTTCAAATACATGAATTCACTCACAATCTTTCTCAATTGAGTTTCCCCTTGTGCTTCTACACGTGATTCTTTCAACTACTCATTATACATAAAACATTATGAGGTCTCAATTGTTTTTCTATATCAGCACTTAATTTTCTTTTTGTAAATTTATTTAAGTTTTTTATTTTTAAATCATTTTTATTGTTATTCTATTACAGTTGTTTCATTTTTCCCACTTTGCCCTCCATTGCCCATTGTACCCACTGCTCACACTACCAATTCCCACACTATCGGCCATGACCATGGCTCATTCACACATGTTCTTTGTCTAGTCCCTTCCCCTTCTTTTCACTATTACTCCCTGCCCTCCTCCTCTCTGGTCACTTTTAGTCTTCTTAATAGAAGTAAGACAGATGCAATACATGTGTACTATTTTTCTATAGTAAATCAATTAATCATTAAAAAATAAAATGTGACCATGAATGAAAACATTTTCACTTTAAATATAACCTTAATTGGATTGTAATATCTGTGAGAATTATCTTCCACTACAGGAGGCAGATTTCAATGGCAGTAAACTGATAACAAATCAATGAAGGAAAAGAAAACAACTCTTGTTTTTAGATTTTTCCTAGAATCTTCCCTTCCACAAACCACACATTTCTGTAAACAAATATATTTTTTTATACTTAGCCAATCTTTATTATTTGTAAATAAATATATGTAAAGGCTAACCAGATTGCATATGCACCATGAAGACTTTTAAAAAATAGTAATTCATTCTTTTTTAAAATGTAGTTTTTGATTACAGTTTACATTCAATATTATTTCATATTAGTTTCAGGTGTACAGCATAGTGGTTAGACAATCATACACTTTATAAAGTGTTTCCCTCAATAATTCAGGTACTCACCTGGCTTTGTACATAGTTATTAAAATGCTATTGACTGCTCCCCATGCTGTACGTTACATCCCTATGACTGTTTTGTAACTGCCAGTTTGCACTTCTTAATCCTTTTGACTTTTTCACCCAATCCCCCAAACCCTCTCCCCTCTGGCAACCATCATTTTGTTCTTTGTATCTGTGAGAATGTTTCTATTTGTAGTAAACCATTCTCTTTGTTCATTGGTGTTTTGTAAAGTATTGGAAATAATATGACACACAACAAATACTTTCCCATGCTGGTTCCCAGTTATTTTTACTAAAACAAGTATTCTGGTCACTCATTTCTTTCATTTTTATCATCTCTTTAGTTCTACCTATGTCACAGCTATGAAGAATGAGCTTAATGGGAATTACTCAGAGGTGACTGAGTTTGTTCTACTAGGGTTCAGAACCCCCCCAAAGCTACAGATTCTCTTATTTTTTGTATTTCTACTGATCTACATGGTCACTGTGGTGGGAAACGTCAGCATGATAATTGTCATTAAGATGGACTCCAGACTTCAAACACCAATGTATTTCTTCCTTAAAAACTTGTCTGCTTTAGATCTCTGCTACTCCACAGTTATTGCTCCCAAAGCTTTAGTGAACTTCTTGTCTGATGAAAAGAAAATTTCTTACAATGGCTGTGCAGCCCAATTTTTCTTCTTTGCCCTGTTTGTCACAACTGAAGGCTTTCTTCTGGCTGTCATGGCATTTGATCGATTCTCAGCCATTTGTTCTCCTCTCCTCTACCCTGTGCACATGTCCCAAAAAGTCTGTGTTCAATTGGTAACTGGATCTTACATCTGTGGAAGCATCAACTCCATAGTCCAAACGAGTTTCACCTTCAGTCTGCATTTCTGTGGAGAAAACAGATTGGACCACTTTTTCTGTGATGTCCCAGCCCTGATCAAGGTCTCATGTGTTGACACCTCTGTAAATGAGATTGTATTGTTTATTCTCTCTGGTTTTATCATCATTACCACCACAACTGTCATTCTGGTATCTTATGCTTATATCCTCTCCACTGTCCTGAAGATCCCCTCAACCCAAGGCAGAAGTAAGACTTTCTCTACTTGTGGCTCCCATATAGCAGCAGTGAGTTTATTCTATGGGACGGTGTTCTTTATGTATGCCCAGCCCGGAGCCATCTCCTCACCTGAGCAAAACAAGATTGTGGCTGTGCTCTATACACTTATAATACCAATGCTAAACCCTCTAATATACAGTTTCAGAAACCAAGATGTGAAAGATGCTGTGAAAAGAATATTATGTGGGAAATGATTCCTTCAATGATATTTGTAAAATCATTATATAGCAAGCAAATTTCATATGCTAAGGATCCAAGTTATTCTTGTTTATGTAAAATTATTATATCAAAGACATTTTATATAAGGCAACAAATAGTTTTCTCCTTTACAAAATAATGTTTAAACAATATATATCTATATATCATTATCTTATTTGCTTAGAATATATAAATCATATATTTTCATTACTTATGATGTGGTAATATTTTAATTTCAATTTGACTTTGACTAAGAAGTAAATATTAAAAGCTGATGTTATGTAATAATTTAATAATATTTGTCTGGGTGAACTATTCTTTAAGTTTTTTGTTTTGTAAAGTAACTAAGCTGGTATTTATTTGGGAAAGATAACTGCCACTGCATAGCTGGCAAAACAGAATGGAAGTGGTCACATAGAACACTTTTGAATACAAAGCGTATTGTTTTTTAAAGATCCAGGTTTATATTCAGAGGGTTATCATCCTTAGAGTTACAACTCTTTTGAAAGGGAACCCATTATATATTATTAGGGAAGCAATTTTTTACATGCAAAATGTGTGTCAATAACATTCTACGAATGTTTATTTTCCCACTTTCTTCTTAATATAAAACTGACACAATTTATAATGAATAAAAGATGATATATACAGGACAGCTACTCTATGCCATAGCTAATGTTTATCACCATTTTCAAATGAGGTAATTGAGGCACCGTGAGAGTACTAAATCATGTAAAAAGTATTCACATATTTTTTTACTCCTCAAATCAGACCTATCATGAAAGTGACATTATATATATATATATAGAATGTTTAGTTTAAATTAATATATTTTAGAAGTATAGAAATTGTATCTTAGAAGCATTATGTGATGTGCTTAATTTTACATTGCCAGTAACAACCATAGCCAGAGCTGGAACACAGAATTTGCTGACTCCAAAGCCATGGAGGTAAAAATTATGTGGCAGTGACTCAGAAACAGCTTTATTTTGCCATAGGTTTTACTATTGTAAAGGTACTTATTGACTCACATGTATTATTAATTGTATTCAAATCTCTCTGATAGCATTAATTTTTACTTTCTGTTATATCAGAAACTGGATGTGTTTAAGTATTGTTTATGTGTGTTTGGTAATCTTTGTTATATTTTTTACTTATTGTAGTATATAATATATGCCATTTAGTCACACATTATATTAATATAGCTGCATTTCTTTGTTATACCTACAAGTGCATTATGCTGAATTGTATTTTATTTAAAACCAATACAGCATGTGGCTTGTTTAAAAACTTTTTATCTCACTAAAACTTTGATTTTTAACTTTTTAAAAAACATTTTACAGCTGTGACTTTTTATAACTTAAGCTCCTCCTCTCACCTGCACATAATCCATAACAGAGATACCTTATTCTGGTGTAATGCCTCCTGTATACTGGCTTCATAGAATGAATTAGGATGCATTCCCTCATTGTAAATCCCTTGGAAAAGTTTATGTACAATTGTTAATTTTTCACTAAAATGTTTGGTAGAACTCACTAGTAAATCAGACTGGAATTTTTATTTGTGGGATAATTTTTACCTACAAAATTGTTAATTTTTACCTACAAAATTGTTCTCAGTGAAATGAACTGCGCAATCATTGGGTTTACCATCGTGAAAAGTTGACGTAAGTGGATCCGGTTGAAAATGGAGCCAGAGTAACCATTCTAGAAAACTTCCTCGGATATCTTGCTCCTTGAAACTCTGCAACGTTTACACCAGGCAGAATAACCTTTGGACTGAGCCAAACCAGCAGAGTCTTGCAAATAACTCTTTGCAAATCTACAGGAGACCATACATCCTGACAATAAGGACAGATGATTATAAACTCTCTTGCTGCTGACAGAAAATGGGCCATGTATGGTTAAAGTGTAACTCAGTTTGTTGGCACAAATAGAAGTTTCTTTCCTTTATTCATGTAATTATTTTCTTCCTTTCCTCATAACACCTTCCTGTAATTGGGACAGTACTTGGGACTTTTTTGCATTCATTTATTTATTATTTTTGAAACTTATTATTAATTTTAATTGTTTTACTGTTGTTCAAGTACAGTTGTCTGCATTTATCCCTGTCCACCCCCCCTGCCCACTCCCGCCATCCCCACCTCCATCCCCTGATTCCATGTCTCCTTGGTTTTCATCCATGAGTCCTTTATAGTTGTTCCTGAACTGAATCTGTGTTCTCTGAATTGAAACTCTTTTAAAAAAAATTTGTAATCCCAAATGAACACTCTTTACCTCTCATTTTGGCTTTTTATTTTTAGGTTAACACCACATTTCTTTCCCCTCTTTTAGGTTCTTCATTGCCTACTCCCGGGAAGCCAGTGGGGAGAGAGAGAGGGTGAGAGCATGTTCTCTTTTGTCATTAATTTAAACAGGAGAGTATTGGTTCCTATTACTTCTTGTCAGCCAGAATCAGAGATGCTATCTTTTACTTTTCAAGCCAGATGAAACATATTTTTCAATCTGCCTCAGTAGCAAGATGGCAGATATTTTAGTTAGTATCTTTTTAATTATAAATTTAATCAGAGACTTCCACAAACATGGTCCTAATTATGCCTGTATGCTCATTACCTCTTATGGAACATGAATAGTTACTGAGGACAATTAAACCTGAATTTCCTGTGAATAAAATTGTTCTACTGTTGATGAAGTTGGCTCCAAAGGTGCTATAATGTTCAAGGAAGAAAGTTATATGTTTCTGTTCCTTCTTTTGCAGAATAGTCTCACTCCTTGAAAGTCAGATTCTTTTAGAGATGAAACTGTGAGTCTTAGGATCAGTTTTACTCAGCATTTTCTAGTTCTTCCTCAAGATTTATCTTTGATTCTATGCCATAATGATTTGGGTGTCTCTCATTCATAGACCAAGGACCATTCCTGTTTTCTTTCCAGGAATCACCACAGCAAAAGTCAATTATGTATATTTCCTTACTTTTGAAAATCTAAAGTGTGATCATCTCGACATCTGAGTATAGGAGTCTTAGGTCTTTTTACTGAGTGAGTGTTGTTAATCCTGTTTCTGGACTGTAAAGTGACACTAATTATCTCTAGGAGACTCTACTCTGCTGCTCTTACACTTTTGAGGGACAGCTGCCTTCATGTCTCAGTAACAACTTACTCTCTCCAAACCAAGTGAGATTCTTTTACATTTCATTTTGCTGCAGAGGATTACAGCTTTCCTTTTTTTGTGGGTAGAACTAATTTTATTGCTACTGTTGCTATTTAAGTTTTAGTTTAGTTTTCCAAGTTCATGTGAGATAAAATGATGTTAGCTGGCCTATATAATAGTGTGTTTGGCATGTATTAACTTATTTAACCTGCATAGCATTTCTGTGAAAATTACAATGAGGAACATATGTGATTGGAAAATGAAAATAATTAGAGGAGATTATGAAAGGTATATGTAAAAATAAGAAACTAAAATGTATTTAAAAACTATATGTGTAGACATATGTGCAAATAGAGTTAAATATATAAATATTTAAAGATTAATAGATTTAAGTGAAAAGTCAAATGTGAGCAGGTGAAGACAATTAAAGTACTTGGAATTCTAATATATTTTATAAAATGTGTTTTGTAGCATACACAACAGATTCATAAAAGAAATAATATAAATACAAATTGTGTATAAATTACAATACAAATTGTGTATAAAGTACATATATTCTACTTGTATGCCATTCTTCAAAATGCCTCTGGAACCCAAGATAAAAGTGATATAATAAAATGGAAATGTAGCCCTGGCTGGTGTAGCTCAGTGGATTGAGTGCAGGCCTGAGAACCAAAGCATCACTGGTTTGATTCCCAGTCAGGGCACATGCCTGGGTTGCAGACCATATTCCCAGCATGGGGTGTCCTAGAGGCAAGCATACATTGATGTTTCACTCCCTCTCTTTCTTTCTTCCTTCCCCATCTCTCTAAAATAAATAAATAAAATCTTTAAAAAAAGGAAATGTAAAGAAACTAAAGGAATGCTTGGGCAGGGGGGGTGAATCTAGTTTGTATAAGTATTGATATCATTTAGTACTCTAGTTTCAATGTCCACTGACAACAACAATAACAATAACAAGAGAAACATATTAGATTTATCACATATTTGTGCTGAATAAAGAGAGAAACTCCTGGAAGTTATATTTGTGAAAAAATTCAATGAAGAATGAAAAAGTATCCTTTCAGAAGAACCTTTATAATTAAAAATGACTTTAATCATCTTGGAGTGAGAATGCTGTTGTGCCAGGAAGCAGCAAGACCAAATTCAATGGTCCTCAAATTTCTGTACAGGGACTGACTTCTGTAGAGTCAGCTGGGCATCTTGAAATATAAATAAATGCTTCCCCACACTCATCTCATTAATACATAATTTTCAACATTCATATTAATTAAGGAGGAGGTGTGATCCAAGAATCAGTATAAAAGCAAAGGGAAACAAAACTCCCCCAGGTGATGCTGAAGTATGGGGAAGTTTGGTGAGTTTGGTAAACAATGACCTAATTGACCTCTAGGGTCCTTTCCTTTTCCAAAAAGATCATACATTTGTATGTAGTTTTTTATTTCATTATTGTTCAAGTACAGTTTTCTCTTTTTTACTCCCATCCCAGCCCACCCCCCCATTGCTCCCCACCTCCCTCCCATTTCTATCCACCTTTGTTGTTGTCCATGTGTCCTTTATACTAGTTCCTGTAAATCCTTCCCTTTGTGCCCCTGAAATTCCCTCCCCTCTCCCCTTCAGTCACTGTCCTCCTGTTCTCTATTTCAGAGTCACCGTTTTTATTTTGCTTGCTTGCTTGTTTTGTTGCTAGCTCCTGTTAAAGGTGAGATCATACGGTGTTTGTCTTTCAACACCTGGCTTATTTCACTCAGTATAGTGCTTTCCAGTTCCATCCATGATGTTGCAAAGGGTAGGAGCTTCTTCTTTCTCTCTGCTGCATAGAATTCCATTGTGTATATGTACCATAATT